ATGCAAACATATGAGATTAGCTTTAATGTTAGCCAGTACTTCGTATATAGCGTGAACACTGACTGCTAATAATGTGTTATGTTATTTAATATTATTGTTCAGAAACTAAAATGTACCCAGGAAATTTTGTATAATATAACTACGCATGTGATGCCCATAAACTGTATTGTACGTCCCCGTAGACCAATGCCTCATTGACATATAATAACATAATAAACGAGGACACTACATGTATTTTGGTTGTCCAGATCGCATTCAGCCTCGTTCGGGGAAAATGGGAAAATGCATTTAATGACTAGTCCAAACATCTGAACGGTTACGCGATCAACAATAATTGCCATATGAATCTAGTGGCAATAAATTCAAAAAATGGCGTGAGTGCGACTAGGATTTTATCTATCAACTGTTATTTTTGCAGTTTTTCAAGGCTAACACATGAAAAGGCGATTTAAATGTCCCTTTGTAATTTGTGACGGTGCAGTCCACATGCTGCACTGATTTTCTCCCAAATCGTAGTTTCTATGCCAACCACCCGTAACTACCGATATCCCAGCAACATTGAATATCATTGCTGAAATGATACAATACAGAAATAACAGACATATGCAGGGATTTAAACTCATGTCTGATTGGTTGACACTCCGCCTTTTGAATATGGGAATAGTGCGAATATGTCTCTTGTTGAGTCCTAGCTATTTCTACTGTCTACGAATATTCGGGTTGGATTGAAGGACCGGAAGTGAACTTACATGGTCATAGCATAATGCGCAGATAGTTATTTCTGTCTAGGAGGAAAAGGTCATGCCATGTTAGTACTGGAATAACAACGAACGTGCATTTAGAAAACGAATACTATAACCATCAAAAATAGGGTATAAACAATTCTCTTTATATACCCCTTTGAACAGAAAATAATATTGTGCATTTGCTTTCCCGGAAAGGACGAAATAGCGCAATATAATTTTGGATGACATATGCTTCGGGTGGGGTAGCGTATTGTTCAAAACCTTTCACGGCGCACTAAAACTGACTAGTATATTTATCCGATTAAAACTTATAAAACACACGGAACGGATAATGGTCTTCAACAGGGGCGAGATCACGTGGGTATATTGTACAAATGCTATTGTTTCTCACGTTGCAACGATTGTATAGGGAACGGTTATATTCCACATGTGGTGGTTGTTGACGTTACTGGGTGGCTAGTTTAATTCTGTATTCTCAATATATTATTATGTCGAACATTATATTTTGTTAGGTTTGCAATATAACGGGGTATTTTAATCCCCGTTTTGGTTGCTATGTCCCATGTATATTTGTCACGCGATCCTTGATGAGCGACTGGTGGCCATCTTTGTTACAAAACAATAAAAGCAAAACAAAACAATATGGTGCTTTATTGCGCAATATACTAATATATGTATTGTAATTAATCGTCCGAGCGCCTATTGTACAGTTTCCCTCGAACGATCAGAAAACCTTTTCCAAGACTTTTGAATAATGTGTGATGCTGAGGTTGAGAAAATGCTCTGGTAACTGAGAATTAAAAATCACTCACATGAACTCACGTTTTCCACATATTACTTACTTTTCTTATTAAAACTAGTATTCCAAAGTATATACTAGTATTAATAGTTTAAATTGAATTCAGTTACAACAATATCTACATATATTAGATTAGTGCATCGGTAAAATTGTAAATTATATTGCCAATCTGTTTTGTATTCTTGAATACTGATGAGTGTTGTTATGGTCATGAGCCATGCTCACTTAGTCGCGTATAGTGGTAGTGAATGTGAATTATCACAAGGGCGCCCTCTACACATGGTTCACGTACATACTTTTTGAGTGGAATTTATGTTTTTTAAATGTTAATATACATTTGAGTAACACTGTAAGATAAAGTTCTAGAATAATATCTGCATGACTAGCGTACGTTTTTTGGCTCTGGATTCCATCGCCAATATGCCCGAGTGGGCTCGAATGTTTTTTATTGGTGTTGTTTTACAAACGCGCCACCAACGTCAGATTAGTGCAAATTGTCCCACTAGAGTAATTTTACATTTGATTCCAGTTTAAAATTATATATTTATCAAAATATTCCATTTTAGTAGCAATAAAAATCTATAACATTGCCATAGAAATACTATTTATGATCATTTTAATATCGCAAAATATTTATTCCAAACGAAAGAATATGATACATAAGGCATAGTTGGTGCACTAACGAAGTAAAGAATGAAATTGGTGTTCCGGGTGGACATATGACGGCTGTTGTGTATTTACAGATTAGGATAACAATAAATAAATACTAGTACTATTCATTTATAACTCAAGCATAGTAAACTGACCAGTACATCTATACGGAGATTAAAATAGCTTGAATTATACTCCCCCGCAAGGACAAACTCGTGAAAGGGCTTTAAGCCGTTTCTTACATTCTGAACAGTTAAATGTGACATATAGCTGATTTACGATTTCACTGTCAGATTCGTGAATTTCAAAAAAAAAAGGAGTATTATTGTCATTGTTTGCGGCATCATAACGTTGATCAATATATACGGCAGTACGATATACGCAATCCTGTGGCCTTCCTGTGTACACCGTCCCTGTTGAGGGACGGTGCAGTGTACTAGTACATCGAAATGATTACTGTTGGTTTTCAAGATTTGGGGCTGTGCGTATGCATTCTCTCGTGACATATAAACTAAACGATTAATAGATGTTGAACAAACGTGCCACACAGATAATGTTATGAGATGCAGGTGAATTGTCGGCGATGTAAGATATGATAACTAACGAACGAACTAGTAATTAGTATGACCGACGACTAGAGGCCAAGTTTGTATTAATGTGATTCAGAGCAGCAAACGTGTAGAATTCAAATCTGTCAAGGTGTCATATTTTTCCATATGCATTTTAATCAAACGAACGTATTTGCGCGGTCTCTTTGTTCTACAATAAAATGGCATCGGATTATGTTCACCAGTGGAGTAGAAATAACTGCAATGCCGATCGATATCCAATTCTATAATCCATAAAGCGAATTAACTTCAAATCCAAATCAACAAACATATTAAATACAGGGCAAGATATTTGCTGACATTTCTACGAACATATTTCAACTACTGACTTTATTTTATCACTACGCAAGTCAGAACATAAAGACAGGGAAGTCTGGACTTTACTTTTGTGAATAATATTAGGCATAGTGTTATCAATCATCGTCACTACAATTCTATTCCTGATATTTCCAAATAATTTATTTACTCCAGAGTTAGATAAAGGTGAAGATATGATCACGATATTTTGTTTCAAAAGTGCTACCTAGTTATAGATATATGCCATGACCTTTCGGATGTTTCTAGGTTCTCCATAGAAACCAATGTTAAATGCCTCAAACATTGTAGTTTTTTTTTACCACCCCCCCTGTTTTTTAACACGAAAAGCAGTTCCGTGAGCATTTGTTTTTATGTCAGTTTTGTGAACATAAAATAAAACCATATGTGTGTTGGTTGGCAAGAACGTCTTGCTTACTAAAAGTAGTGTTTAAGAAGTAATACTTTCCTTATTTTACTAACATTATATCTTGCCAAAAAAAAAACTGTGTGTGGATGACCACACATCTCTCATACATGCGAGTGCACCAAAATCTACAAATCTGCAATGAGTGCCCCATATAAATCACTGGAATTTATGTGAACACGTTCTAAACTTGGAGAACTTTTTACTTTTTACTATTTTCGAAAATGTAAATGAACATGTATGCAATCTTTCAAATATTTGAAGAGTCATGTACCTTTTCACAAAAACTGGAATGTTCTCGTTATGGATTACGTCCATCATGGGGACTTGTTAACCTATAAGTTGTTGATAGAGCAATATAGCAACCAGTGAAATTAACAATAGTGAATAGAATAGTGTGTGTGATGTGGTTTTGTGTTGGAGTACAGATTCAACAGTGTAATGATAGTCTTGGGATCCCATTTCTACTGTTTGACATTGACCTAGGGGTACCATTTCTATGGTGTGATGTTCACCTAGGGGTACCATTTCTACTGTGTGATGTTCAGCTAGGGGTACCATTTGAAAAAGTGTGCTGAAGATTTCCATTTCTACTCTTCAACACTTGCCTAGAGACTGTTCAGCATTGACCTAGGGACACCATTTTTACAGTGCAATGATGGTCTAGGGGTACCATTTTTGTTGTTCAACATTGGCCCAGGATATCATTTCTACGGTGTGATGATGGCTGAATGGTACCATTTCTACTGGTCAGCACTGGCCTAGGGATACCATCTCTACAGTACAATGATGGCTGAATGGTATCATTTCTACTGGTCAGCACTGACCTAGGGATACCACCTGTACAGTACGATGATGGCTGAATGGTAACATTTCTACTGTTCAGCACTGACCTAGGGATACCATTCCTACTGGTCAGCACTTGCCTAGGGATACCATCTCTACTGTTTGATGATGGCTGAATGATACCATTTCTACTGGTCAGCACTGGCCTAGGGATACCATTTCTACTGTTCAGCACTGGCCTAGGGATACCATTTCTACTGTGTAATGATGGCTGAATGGTATCATTTCTACTGTTCAGCACTGGCCTAGGGATACCATATCTACTGGTCAGCACTGGCCTAGGGATACCATCTCTACTGTGTAATGATGGCTGAATGGTAACATTTCTACTGTTCAGCACTGGCCTAGGGATACCATTTCTACTGGTCAGCACTGGCCTAGGGACACCATCTCTACTGTGTAATGATGGCTGAATGGTAACATTTCTACTGTTCAGCACTGGCCTAGGGATACCATTTCTACTGGTCAGCACTGGCCTAGGGATACCATCTCTACTGTGTGGCTGAATGGTACCATGGTTTCGCATAAAACACATTTTCTCCTGTATTCCTCCTTTAATTAAAATGAGGTATTTTGACTAATTAAGTTTTAATTTACTTGGTTATTCGTTACACTCCGTGTACTTAAAATTAAAAATCTAATTTTATTTTTGATAAACTTGATGCACATGCTGATTCACCCTGACTTCGACTGACTGTCTCTGATAAATCTGGCGGTAAATGTAGTTTCTGGAAAATATAATAAATAACATTTAATGATCAAATGATATTCTAGCTCCATGTCAAATGTAAACAGTTTAAGTGACAAAAAATCACACTGTGAGCAGCTGCTTATTTATAGTATGTTCAAATACATGCAAACCACATGAATCAAAATAATTGCACTAATGGATTTCAGTTTCACCGATTTACCCCTCAATAGTGAAAATAGAGAATTTTATAATGAGCAGTTGTTTGGCATGTATCAGTTATTTATTGTATGCATGATGAAACTATGCATAGATTTGTTGTGTTCTTATATTGGAATGAAAAATGAAATGCAATCCCTTGTGAAAATAGTACACCTCATGAATTGACATATGTACGCATAGTCAAGGATTGTTGGAGATGTAGCTCTTCTTTACTTTTTGTCAACAGCCAATATGCTTAAAAATGTTGGTACGATTTGATATATATCAATCTAAGGTGTTTATTGGGATTTTGTTTATTATTGCTGTCATTCAAGGAATTATCAAAAGACCGTTTAATGTTAGCACCTTAAGGTATAGAATGCATGGGGTGTTGGCTTTGGGTTTGGGTTTCACCCTTCATACTACATGTACTTGTTGCTCTATCACTTGAGCTTAGACTCATCTACGTGGCAACTTTTTCCCATAAGGACATACAGTCAGCAAGTAGGACATGGCCCGTAGGTCTGTGTGGGGCGAGATACAATGTACACATGGGGAGTGGGGGGGCATATTTCCAGATTTCTATATTTTCAGAAAATGATACAATGTATGCAGATTGCTGTATGGTTGAAAAAAATGAAGAAGATCGTGTTACATCACACACCTGTAAATCAGATGTTGTTTTGTCACTCAAAGCTTGTTTTACCATGTAACTCACCTCAATGGTCAGCTTTTTCCTCTTCAACTTGAAGGCCAAGTCCATTGAATCTGGCACATGACATGTCAGAGAATTCAAACGAGGCAACTTGTGTATTGTAAATAAACCTGAAAGAAATAAGACAATCTTTTACTGACTCCAAGACATTTGTATGCCCATAGTAGTGTGCAGGGCTTAAACCCCGGTATTCTGAAGGCACGCAATGGCTATGTAATCTGAGAATCCAGCAGTCTGTAGAACTGACACCTACATGTATAATGTGACTCACATAAGCCAATATGATTGTGCCTGTTTTTGTTTTGTTTTTGAGTAAGATTCCTAGATTTGCTTACATGTCTATAAATAATAACAATGAAGGATAAAAACTAGCAAAAATACATAATAATGGAATGATCATGTAAAAACAAATGACTTGTATTTCATGCATTTGCCCTTATTCACAAGGGTGAATTGTCTACCAGTGATGAAACCAGATCTATCTCTGGAATAACAAGATTTACCAATCAGAAACTATTACATGTTTAATTGCATAAAATACATATGACATTTGATTTGACTATCGTCCACTTCTTTACAACCTGGTATATTTTCTGTTTGCACTTTTATTGTTCTACTGTTTGTGAGATCCTGGAATGACTGTATCAATGAGTTGGCATTGGAAAGAGTAAGCTACCCAGGACTCTCCAGCTATCTACGAAAGGTTAGTTGCCCAGTTTGTTTGGTGCTGTAAAGTGGGTACAATGAGTTTAATAGTGTGTGCAACATGTACCATTTGACATGTCATTAATATAAAAATTGCAGCGCATAGTTATTAATAGCAGCTCAAACATCACAAGGGACACAAGTCATTAACTTTACAAACACTATTTCATATATTAGCCACTTTTAATATTTTCGAAAAAAACAAAAACACTTGTAAACACATCTACAAGGTTCCATCTCCTAGACTTTCATTTGCCTCACATAGTCCTTGTTGTCAAAATTTTAAAAATTATATACTTCTGATGATTTCTAGCTGATGTAATGAACATATTTGGTGTTTAATTCCATAACAATCTTGAGATGAAAACATCTTTGAAAACCAACATCTCCTAATGAAGACATACCATGGTAATCTTTATACACAGGATACTTCTCTTTCTCAGATCCAGCAAAAGATTCCAGCTTGACTGTGGTATCTGTGAGATTTTCAATTCGATGAATGTAAGATTCATCCTGATTAAAGACAAAAACAAAATAATTTGACTATAATTTCAATAATAATAGGGAGGCAAAATAGGGAAAATTTGACATTTACATATATTTCAAATTCTTCTTTCAAATATTAGGTTTGAAGTGTCCATTTTGGGTGGTGCTGGTTTTTGTAGTGATGGTTGTCAAAAGTGATACTAAATGTTGGCATCAACATTTTGTTTTATTATTGAATAACAAAGCTGTGAGAATATCAAATATTTGATATGTACCGGTAAAAAATGCATAAAAATTTGGAAAATTTTGGTGAGAAAACATCATGATATTCAAAGGGTTAGTCATTGACATGGAAATAAGAAAA